CTTCGGTTCGGTTTGGTTTTCGGTTTCAGATCGGTTTTGAACACCCCAAGCGTCGGCTACTACGTTCGCCTTCCCTAGATGGTATAAAATATCAACATCATAGTCTTTAAGTAGCTCCAACCTCTCCTTTGACATAAATTCAATTCCTTTTGCTTGAAGATATACTGGAGGCTCTTATGATCCGTATAGATATCAACATGAATGCCATACAAGTAGTGCTTTGATATCTTTAGTGCATGAATTGCTGCGACTAACTCTAAATTGTGGGTCGGGTAATTCTCCTCGTGCTTTCTTAGTTGTCTAGAAGCATAAGCTACAACCTTACCATGCTGCACACAACCCAATCCAACTCCTGAAGCGTCACAGTAGATAACATAACCATCGGTCCCTTCTGGGAGCGTTAAAATCGGTGCTGAAATTAATCTGTTCTTCAATGCCTGGAAACTCCATTCGCAAGCATCGGGCCATTGAAACTTAGATCCCTTCTGAGTTAACTTACATGGGTATTCTAATCTTTTACAATTCATGAAATTCCCCTCATCGAAGGCCCAAACTTCATCCTTTATCTATCACAATTACGCCCTTATTCCACTACCAGGGCAACATTTCATTTATTCTAAATGTTACTAGTCTTAGACTCCTTTGAGTTCATTCAGGCTATACTGAGCCTTCTATAACTTAGAGAAACCATCAGCTCTCTTATGAGCTTAACCCCAAGGACTTATCCATTCTCGTCACCTTTTCACTCATCTTTTCTTATCCTTCCTCCTGTCTTCCTAAAACCTTGTCGCTCTAGCATACTTTAGCTTGCGACCTACACATATCAACTTATACTTATTCGCAACCTTCCTTCAACTTACTTGCACCATAGATTTTCTTATGTTATTCTGGAACATCAAGCGAGACACCATATACCACTTTGGTCAAAGGTACTAAAAGAGAAGAAAATTCCGTTACAAGTTTCATGTAATAACCTGACAAACGGAGAAACTATGAACCTTCGTCAGTGTCGGGGGTCTAGGTCAAGTCTTTACTGCCTCAATCTTTTGTGTATCCACCCGGATGCCTTCACCCGCAATGATATGCCCAAGGAAAGCTATAGAGTTCAACCAAAATTCACATTTAGAGAATTTTGCATACAACTTCCTTTTTTTGTAGAACTCTGAGCATAGTACGCAAATGATATGCATGCTCCGCCTCTGAACGAGAATACACCAATATATCATCGATAAATACAATTACTAACAGATCTAAAAAGGGCCTGAACACACGGCTCATCAAATCCATGAATACTGCTGGGGCATTGGTCAAATCGAACAACATAACACGAAACTTAAAGTTCTCATATCTGGTCCTGAATGCTATCTTCGAGATATCTTTCTTATCCGATAGTACCCGGACCTCAAGTCTATTTTTGAAAAACACTTGGCACCTTGCAACTAATCAAATAAATCATTAATCCTCGGGAGCGGGTACTTATTCTTGATCATCACCTTATTCAACTGTCTATAATCAATACAAATCCGTAAGGAACCATCTTTCTTCCTCACAAAATAACACTGGTACTCCCCACTATGATGTACTAGGTCTGATAAAGCCTTTTTCGAGCAAGTCCTTTAGTTATTCCTTCAACTCTTTCAGCTCTGCGGGGGCCATTCTATATGGAGGAATAAATATTGGTTGAGTAGCTGGTAGTAGGTTAATAGCAAACTTAATTTCTTGCTCTGGCGGAAGACGTGGAAGCTTATCGAAAAAACATTGGGAAATTCATTAACCATAGAGATAGATTGAACGGTTAGTGACTCTACTTTCACAGTCTTTACCCGAACTAAGTTATAATCATAACCTTTTCTGATCATCCTCCTTGCCTTATGACAGGAAATAAATCTACATCTCGGCGATGCCGTATTACCTTTCTAATCCAAAAACAGGCTTTCTTGGAAATTTGAATCGAACCACCTTTGTTCTTCAATCAATGTTAGCATAACAAGAAGCCAACCAATCCATACCCATTATAACATCAAATTCTACCTATCCAAGTGCCACGTACCTTATCCTTATTTATTATCAAACTTATCACGGGCCATTACAGGCACCTCTATATATATAGACGTAACAATATTAGGACTTAACTCGCAGAACTCATTAAAAAAAAGGGTTTATATGGATACATAAGGGCCGACAAGGCCGTAGACATGTCATACCCAAAACTATATACATGATACTATCTGCAAAACCTTTAAAAAACATAACCATAATATATACAAGTGAGACGGGGCTCCCTACGTCCTCATAAAACAACCTAACACATTTAGAACCTTGACTTGGTAATACTCCAAGAAGAGGTGGAATTCACCAACCAAAAGCTGATATCTGGAGAAAGTCTACAATAGAAGATCCTTGCCTCGTCCTATATGAGAACCTCGATCAGACACACTTCGAAGCAGAGCCTTCATATCCTTATCAGTTACCTTCCTCCTCTTGTCCCGACTACTATCCTCTTCCTATTCGTACCTCATAAAATACACAGACGAACCTTGATTGACGGACTCCCAAGACTGTGGACTATCTGGAACCTCAAAAGAGCTGGTGTCCGCAAATACCCTGATATAGTTTTGAGCCTAAGGGGAACCAGGTTGTGCCAATCCGTGCACTACTCTCCTCACACCCTAATCAATGAGCTGCGATAATGAAACTAAGGGCCTTGGTGAGGTTAGAGCTTCTCTCACCCCATTTGTTGCCGGAGTGGTCGAAATAGCTCGAATGGATGACGCATATGGATCCTCATATGGATCCCCCTCAATAGAACACATGATCTCCGATGGGTCTGACTCCATAGTGTAACTTATATCTCTTTCTAACATTTTCATAGCCTTCTAACTCGTGCTAGCGGCTTGCGCCTGTCATCTAGTAGTAACAGGCATCACTAAAAACATAAATAAGGTAAAGATTAGGAGTGAATACTTATGACTCAGTTCTATCGCATAATCTGGATTAGAAAGAAAAGTAACCATCCTAAATATCTGGTAACCTCCTTTCTATAAGTGTGGTGCACAACACACCCATAAACAAGACTCTACTAGACACGGTTTGTAGACAACCCTAGGACAGAACTGCTCTGATACCACTTTTGTCACGACCCAAACCGATGGGCCGCGACGAGTGCCCGAGTCCTACTTGTCGAACACCCTTAAGCATGCGACTAAGATATAAACATGAATAATATCTGCTGAATTACGAGAATAACATGTGTGAGGAAAACCTGTCCAAAAGACATATATACATATACGTGCGGAATATAGTGGGCGAGCCGACAAGGCTGCTATAGACAACTATATACCCAAAACTGGAAGCCGTCNTATATATATATATATATATAAATATCGTACCAAATCAAAAGCATCTCCGGATCAAGTGGAGCACGCCAACTCTCGCTGATCAAGAATCCTAAGAAAGGGGATCGTCAGCTTGCCTACCTGCACCTGTTGGCATAAAACGCAGTACCGGGAATAAGGCGTCACTAAGAATATTGTACTGAGTATGTAAGGCATGGAAATCAATACATAAAAGACATAGATGGAACATGGAATAAAGAAATCAACCTGTAATTCTGAATAACTTTGTAAATTCTGCAACATTTATAGTGTCATGCACGTGCATGCAAATGTCGTGTCATGCATAGGTATGGATGTACATAACATCAACAAGTCTCTGAGGGCATCCCATCATATCGTCTCGGCCACTGTGGGCAACATCATCAACATATACCAACTAATCATGTGGTGGTGTATATAACGCCGTAACCTTTTTCCATATACCATATACATATATTTACATATATACGCATATATAACGCCATCTGGTCATGGGTCAGCGTAAATGAAATGCATAAGAAATACGTTAATAATTTTTTTTCAGAATACCATAAAAATCAATATACCTTTCAGATAAACTTTATCAAATACGTATTTTTCTGAGACCCATGAACAGAAGATATAATAATAATTCACATGGTGAATTGAGAATATAGACACCCCTAGTATTTCTAGGAATAGAGTCATTTATGAAAGTTGTATATTTTGCTCGTTTCATTTGTATTATTTGGATCATGCCAAAAAGAAAGAAGGGATAGCCTTAACATACCCGGAGTAGGGAAAAATCCGTATGATATTCTTGGAAAAGGTTGCACCGTACTCCTTTAAAACCGTAAAATTTTACGTTGCTAAGGTGCTAATAATTCTTGTTGGAATTGATTTGGTCGCAAAAAATCTTGTTGGAATTTCTAACGTTCTGATTATACATTCATGTTTGTCGTTGGAGTCTTTGAGGTTAGTATCGAATTCTTGATTTTTAGTGAGCCTTCAAACTTGCTGATTGTAGTGTTAGAAAGTGAAAACATTAGACNGTGGGGGTGGGGCGATTTTAGTCTTTATCCATTTATTAGGTAATTAGGTATTGTCCCGTTATCCGGTAATTAACCAATTACCCGTATAATTAAAAATTATCTCAAATTACTTAAAAATTCTACTCATTTTTAATATACTTTATACATCGGTTCTATGGTACCTTGTATGTACTAGTCCATAAATATCGTATATTAGTTCGGATCGTATTTTACCGCAAATCGACAACCTTCAACGAAACTCATTTTTTTTAATTCGTGTACCCTTTATCCTCCATGACACTTATTTATCGCTTGTTATAAATAGTATAAATATGCTAACCTCAAGATAATCTTATCCCCGGGTCTCTGTCAATTAACTGAAGACGAAATTTTATCGTACGAAAAACGCGAGATGTAACAAATCAAATAATACAACACTCCTAGGTGTGATTAGCGCTAAAAAAATATTGCAGCTATTAAAGCAAGAAGGAAAATCAAGGGGTGCTGCTACAAATCAAGTACGCAAAGGTAGTTTGACTTACTCAAAAAATCATCGTGTTGGACCAATCAACTTTTACCATCTGCATCAGGCTAGCAAAGGCCGTTAAAATTGGTTCATTTCAGATGGCTTAGGTTGGGGTTAAAAAAAATTCTCGGTTCCTTTGCGAGGTTTGCTAAAAAATTTATATTTTCACATGTTTGTTTCAAATTTCATTTGAATATCATCACAAAGCAATGCCTTGTTCAAGTAAGAATTTCACCACAAAAGAATGGACCAAGTTTTGAGGATTGTGATCTTGGATCAATCTTGAGGGGACATCATCAAATGTCGCTTTGCAGACATTGCTCCATCTTATATGCTCCTACAATGATCATGAAGATTGTAAACTTGTTGTCAATAATATGGATGATGAGGGTGAGCAGGTTTCAATAGAATGAGTCTTGTGTTGAATCAATGATCACAAGGAAAATAAGTTACGATCTTGTTGGATTTTTTTTCCAGGTGTGCACTCTATTTGTTTTCAATTTATAGTCACCTCGTATGGAGTTTGATAATCATTTCACATAATACCAATAGATTTTATACTCGGTAATATGTGGTTAAAATTTTGGTTTAAATTTATATCATAAGATGGTGGTATGGTGGAAAACGCTTTTTTGGTGATCAGTTTACTGCTAGCACGGGGACAACATTATCCTGCTCTATTACATGTGCAGATAGATGGATCATACCCCTTTTTTAGGGTGTATGCTTGATGAATGTATTGAAATATAATGAGAAATAGAACGATGGCTAACCATGGTTAGTGGTTACCAAAAAAATGCCACATTTAGATCAAGTTATAAATGTGGAGAATAATTGTCCTACTAAAGCAAAAGGGCCCTCGTGGTACCAACTATGATCCAGTGGGCGATTATTGAAGCTTCAGGCCAGTGTTATCACACCTGAAATAATTTTGATGATGTGAACCAAACTCTTGAGACTAAAAAAAATGCTGCAGAAAGCAAAGGAGACATTGAAGAAGATGCTTCAGGAAGCAAAGGATACATTGCAGTGTCTAAGAAAAGGAGACATGCGTCAGACGTTGAATTTATTTGTTCATATTGTAAATAAGAAAGTTGTGTAATCTAGATGCGCTAAAAATGCATAGTTTAGCATATAGAAATTATCTGTTATCCTGATTACTCCGGGGAAACTTGAAAGCTTGTCTCTCCTCTGCATATGTCGATTAGGTGGTGTACGTATTGTCCCACTATGAGTTCATTGTGTGAAATTCACTTTAAAGCTATTGCATAGTCTTGCTTGCCTATGTGAAAGTCTTGCCTTATGTATGGTGCAAATAATTATTTTTGTTTATGCGAATCAATGTTTTTTTTCCTTTTTTTTTTCTTTCTAATAAAGCAAAAGTATACAAAGCGATGCTAAGTAGGGCTAAGATTTTACTTTATTTCTGCAGCTAACCCCAACATTAATGGAAGAGAATTGACTTGAAGGTGATTTAAAAGAGATCTAGACATAACTTGGGTACGATTTCCTGCTCTTTTCTCCCCTGCCTGGTGTCTGTGAAACTCCATGCCTCCCCAAGACAGTGAATTCCTTGAAATTTGTTATTAGCATTCAAAGAGAGCAAACTTAGCTTCTCTCTTTAATCTTGTGTATTTCTTTAGGCTTAAAATTTGTTTTTAGCTAAGCTATGTACAATGAGAATCTGGGATTCTTCTACTTCACAGAAATTTATTTTCTAATAGCTTAAAGTTTAGGCCTATTAGTTGTTGTTAGTTTCCATGGGAGTAAGCTCAAGCTTCTTTCTTTATTCTTTTTTATCTTTTTTTTTAATCATTATTGTAGAATAAATATAATGATTGTGGTATATTTTTATGGTCGGTTGTTATTGATGATCATTGTTGGCTATTTTTTTAAGTTCAGTGATAATATATTTTTTGTGTGCTCCGCATATATGAAAAATCGTATCATATTGATAAAGATCACCCAATCCTAATGCATTCATGTTATGCTTGCGAGTAATACTCTTACTTTATGGAGAAGCTTTTTGAACATGTAGGCATTTTCTTGTGGCGAGACTGACTTGGGATTGGGTTATTTTGCAGAACATGGATTCAGGTGGACAATTAAATATATAATATTGTGGAAATGTAGCCATTGGGATGACTTACATCAAATTGTAAAATATTAAATCATACTCGAAACCTAAGGTAGAGAATCTATTTAAATTTTGAGTCAAATGTTTATTGGAGAGTCACTTTGATCCCTGTATTATGCAAATATATACTTGACTAGATCAACTTGTCGCTTGGGTTATTGATGGTGACAACTTTCGACCACCAAAAATCATCTGTGTGATAATGAACCGACGTGTAACTTTACAGAACTTATACTCAAGATCCATTGGGACAAAAGAGGAGTCTAGAATTTTTTTTATCAAAGCGCTTCGAGATCGATGGCGGAAACAACGAGGGAGTAGGTAATCATGGAGCCAATTACAGGAGCTTTACCTGGATCAGTGGCGGAGGCAGGATCTCCACGAAGGGGTTCAAAAAAAAAAATTGTAACTAGTGAGAATTGAATCCATGATCTTATGTAGATTTTAAACCTCCTTGACCACTAAACTACACTTTTGGATTGTGTTAATGGGGTTCAAAACTTAATATATAAAGGTAAAAAACAGATTTTGCCTTATATATACAGTGTAATTTTTCGGCGAAGGGGGTTCGGAACCCCCTTGCGCCCCTAAATCCGCCCCTGACCTGGATGATCTAAACTAAGAGAAAATTTAAGTCATCTAATGATACCTTGCATCTCATTGTGTACCTGTTTCTGTTGTAAAGATCATATTGTCCCATGCTCTTGCAAATATGTAGATAATATGTCCATTCGTTGTGAAATGGACCGTGAACATTAACTCCATGCAAAAGTAGTATGTTACAAGTAAACTTCCCTTAGGCTTATTGCATTATTAACATGGCATAAAAATATTTCTTTCCTGTAGTCTCCAAATGAAGTCTTCTTTGTGTGTGCAATTTTTTTTTTTATGTTTGACTATTTTCAGGCTTCTGGAGAGTTGAAGTGCAACATATTTCAAATAAGTGTGTCATACCGAGTGAAATTTCAGACACAAGGAGTAATCTCTTGTTTGAATTATTGAAATATGTGATTATAATTTTCTAAATGAGCTTGTCAGCATAGCATTGACCTATACATTCTCCTGCTTCACTGGCAATTACCACAAAGTAGACCAGCTGCTATTTGTTAATGTCATCTGTATCCATTTTTATTTTTATCTTACAGGGCTCATTTCAATTGATATTTCTCTCACTGTAACCAATTTAAATAGTTGTATCGATTTTCTCTTGTACGTCTGTTATCATATATTTTTTGAGTTAGATAACCATAATGCACTTTATTGCGCTTGCGGCTCGACTGGTAGGTGAGCTACGTTGAAAGTCCTAAATAAACCTGCTCCCATCCTTTTTTAATAGAAAATATATGTTCTAAAAAAATGTCATTCACCATTATAAGGAAAATAGGACTTTCTTGTTATATTGTGATAAAAAAATATAACTAATTCAATCACTAACTATGCATTTTTAACATTTGAGCTCGGCCCGGGCTCAACACGAGCCTATCCCTAACTAGTTATTTATATATCACCGAGAATTGTGGTAGGATACACTGACAAATCCAAAATTTATGGATTATAGTGGGTGCTCATGGCCTCTTTATAAATTTTTAAAAGTGCATAACTAAAATAGTTTGGCCAAAGCTAATGGGTGCTGAAGCACCCTTACTTCCAAGCATAGATCTGTCATTGGTGGTAAGGATAAGATTTCTTTTTCCTTAATCTGAGATAGCGGGTTCAAGCCTTGAACATAAAAAATTCAGATAAGGAGCACTTTCTCCTTTAATCCGTATTAATCGAGGACTCAAACAGAATATCATACACCAAATGATGAAATTAAAAAATATATATTATTTAACCTAAAATTTAATTATTATGCCAAACAATTAAGGCTACGAGATTTAGGCCACAAGCAACACGATTAAAACAAATTATATCAATCCTTTGAACAAATAAAGTTGATGGAAGTATCGTAATAATAATGACAAAATAAATAATAGAATGAAAATAATAGAGAGAGAGAGAGTAATTCATATGATCGATCTGGATGAATATCTAGTCAATGGTATTATTGAGTGCACAATGAGTAGGGAATTCACTAGAGTTTATATGTATTATAATATGTTACAATGATGGAAAAAGAGGTACATATAACCTAGTCCTAACTGTTTTTTCGCCTCCGGCACGTTTTGAGAGTGATCATAGTTGTTGGACGTGATAAGGCCGAATCCCAATTTTTTTGGAGTTTGTAGATGTTGGGATGGTGATTGTTTGGTCATCTTGGACTTTCTGTGATACACGCCGGATTAGCGGACTTAAGAGAATGATTTTTAGGTCAAAATCATAGCTTTGGAGTGCTTTAAAAGGTTCAAGATCAAGTGTGGCTATATTAGAAATTAAGGATATTTAGGCTAGCTTTAATTTGGCTCTACTTAGATTACTTAATAGCTTAAGGATATATGGGCCATTTGCCCAACTACCACCTTAATATAAATAGTCTCTTATACTCATTTTGAGGGGAATCTTATGATGGATTGACAAGCACCTTTGAGAGGTTTAGGGCATCTTAGTTTTCTCTTTATTTACCATATTTTTCTTATATTATCTATGTTAGGTTAATTTTGTATGAGTTTATGTGCATACTTGTAACGACCCGAGCGGTCGTTTTGAGATTTAGCGTTTTATTCGGTGGTTTGAGACTTTGAGTAGCTTCATATTATGCGTTATGACTTGCACGTATAATTGATTTCGGTTTTCGAGCTGTTCGGGATTGATTTGGAAGAATGATTCTCGTTTTAGAAGCTTTAAGTTTGAAAAGTTGACCAAGATTTGACTTTTGGGTAAACGGACTCGGAATCGGATACTGATTATTCTAATAGGTTCGCATGATGATTTTAGACTTGTACGTATGTTCGAATTTGGTTTTGGAGGTTCCTAGAAGAATTCGACACTATTTGTCGAAAATTGGCAATTTGAAGAACTTAAGAGTTTATAAGTTTGACCAAGAGTTGACTTTGATGTTATTAGACTCCAATTGGTGTTCCGAGACTTTTGATAGGTCTATATAGTTGAATTAAATTTGTGTGCAAAGTTTGAAAGTAATCCGAAGTGTTTAAGTGTGATTCAGACACTCTTTTGAAAGAATGAAAATTTAACAACTTAAGAAAAATTCTTTTCGGTTTGAGCCTCAATTCTTTGTTGTGATGTTCCCATGGTTGTTTTAAGATTTTGGCTAAGTTTGGATGATGTATTTGTACTTGTTAGTATGATTGGATGGGGTCCCGAGGGGTTCGGGTGTGTTTTGGATCATTGGGTGAGAAACTAGTTATATTAAAGATTTGAAGTTTGACCATGGTCAATATCGGATCAAGAAGATATATTTTTGGTGTTTTGAGTGCGCAAGCAGGTTCGTAGCGTATTTTATGATTGAAATGCATATATGATTTGTGTCCGGGAGGTTCCGAATGAGTTTTGGGTGCTAAAACGAAGATTTTCTTAATGCTATTTTTTTCCTGAGGTAAATAATTACAAAAATGCCATTGAAATTTTCAGATTTCATTTAAATCTTCAAAACATCATATCTCCCTCATTTTAAGGCCAAATTAGGTGATTCAAGAGGTTATCTTGGATGTAGGGATGACAATGGGGTGGTGCGGATGCGGGACAGTGCGGGTTTAGATACATGCGGGGCGGTGCAGGTTTAAACATATGTGGGTGCGGGGCAGGTCAAAATAAAAAAAAATTAAATCTATGCGGGTGTGATGCGGGTGCGGGTTTAAAAACTTCATCAAAGAAGGAAAATATAACTTTTTGACTTTCTAAAGATGAAATTGATTCCACGTAATATATTGAAGCAAAATAAAGTCTCATATTGTTTCAAAAGTAAGATCACGACTTGATCTTTCTCTTAGTAAATTACAGTAATATATCTTATTTCACCTTTTTCCCCTTCCATTCTTTTTTTTTTGGTACCAAAGATAAATATTATATATTAAGTAAACATATGCGTACAGAGATGTTGGTGCCCAGGTTGCACCTTATTACAAACTAAGTCACTGGTAGTAGTAGTTACCATATTACAAACTAAGTCATTACTATTAGTAGCTATATTATTTGTAACATCCATAGTGGATCTATTACTACAACATCAAAAGAAATTTGGGATGATGTTATAGTTGTTCCTTCCATGCATTGTAGGTTGTTGATCTGTCAAGTCACCTGCAGTTAGTGGTAGTGAACTGTAACGATCCTACCGACCCTTTCATGAGTTACCGCTCTGTTTCCCCTATTTCTGCTTCTTTGTGTGTTGTTCAGCTGTATTTCATCGCATCGTGTTGGTTAGTTTGGGTTCAGAGTGGTTTTGTAGAGAAATGAGACACTTAGTCTCTTAAGTTGGCCTTTTAGTTGAAAAAGTCAACCAGAAGTTGACTTGTGAGTAAATAATCCCGGAACTTGGTTTTTATGGTTCGGATAGCTTCCTGAGATGATTTGGGACTTAAGAGCGTGATCGGAATGCATTTTGGAGGTCCAGGGTAGATTTAAGCTTGAATTGACGAAATTGGAATTTTGACGCTTTCCGGTTGGTAGTAGAAATTTTGATATAGGGGCTGGAATGGAATTTCGGAAATTGGAGTAGGTCTGTTATGTTATTTGGGATATGTGTGTAAAATTTAAGGTCATTCGGACGAGGTTTGATAGACTTTTTGATCGAAAGTGGAATTTGGAAGATTTGGAATTCTTAGGCTTGAATCCGAGGGTGATTTGATGTTTTGATGTTGTTTTGAGCATTCCGAACGTTGGAACAAGTTTGAATAACGTTATGGGATGTATTGGCATGTTTGGTTGAGGTCCCAAGGGCCTCGGGTGAGTTTCGGGAGGTTAACAGATTAAATTCTTGTTTTTGGAAGTTGCAAATTTCTTCAGGTTTCTGTTGCAGAGTTTTGCTATTCGCGTTCGCGAGATGGCCCTCGCGTTCGCGAAGAGATGTTCAGTGAGGCAGGCCAGTTGCCCTTAGCATTTCCGATGTTGGTACAACATTCGCGAAGGTTGCGTCTGAATGTGTATTGCGAACGCGTGGCATAGTTCGCGTTCACGTAGAAGGGTGAATCAGACTTGGACATCATGCCCTAAGGCATCACGTTCGCGACTGGAGGAACGCATTCGCATAGGCTAAGTTGAGTAAGGTATCGTGTTCGCGAGGTGGTGTTTGCATTCGCGTAAGAGGAAAGTTGAGCTATGATCTTTTTGTGCTTCGCGAACGCGAGGCTTTGACCGCGTTCGCGAAGAAGGAATTAATGCCTGGGCAGAATGTTTAAATAGTTGCCTTCGCGATTTTTGGTCTATTTTCCACCATTGTTGAGCGATTTTGAAGCCTTTTGAGAAGTATTGAAGAGGGATAGAAGGGAAACACTTGGAGGTAAGATTTGTGAACTCAATACTCGATTCTATGGTGATTTGTACCTAATTAGACATGAACTTTATGGGATTTAAAGCCTAAAATTGGGGAATTAGGGCTTGAAATTGGAGACTTTGATTTA